TTGGTCTTAAAGGTGCCACTGGACTGTTTTCGGGGGGGGGGGGGCTCTGCAGCTTACATGGCTGCTTCTTGCTCTGACTGAGGGCTGCTGGGAGCAGGGGGTGGGGCTTGTTGCATGTGCTCGCCCCCTGGGCTCTTTACTGCCAGAGCTCCGCTCCTCTGCGCTCCTGCAGGAAATGACCCCTGAGTGAAAGTATCTTCTGGATCCTTACAAGTTTCAAATGTTTCATCTTGTCAGACATTTCAGACATCTTACCTTGTCTCCGAGGTGCCACTGGACTTGAATCTAGGTGTTCTACTACAGGCTGACGTGGCCACTTTCCAAACTGTTTTAACTGGAATCCTCGGTTTTTCCAACAAGGTTGTGATCGTCCCTGTCTGTGGTTTGTACTGCTTGTTTTCCTTCCTCTCTTGAATCACACCTGGATACTCTTTGGACCACTCTCAAGCTTGGATTTGTGGTGCGCGACGATGAACCGCTGGCGTGTTTCTCTTTTCTGTAGCTCCTTTGCCAATGGAGGCGATTGAAAGAATGGCCGCTCTCTGTATGAAGGATCTCGACGAAGAGGATGGGGGAGGAGAAGACGATCTGGAAGACATGGAAGACGACGACGAACTGCTGGTAAAAATGGCGGGTGGCGCGGCCCCTGCCCTGACGCCTTTGCGTAGCGCTCGTGGTGTCTGCAGATCACTCGAATGATGCTGCCGCCTCTGACAGAGCGGTCCCTCAGTGGCGCAGTCTTCCTCGGGAGGTGGCGGGCTCTCCTTTGGAGGTTTTCAAACAGAGGCGAGATGGCCATTAAAAAATTTTTTTTATAAACTTTATTGAAGATCAAACAATACATTTGTAAATCATAGCACACATACATAAGTTGAATCGTGTTCATTGATCACACCGTTACAACTTTTGTTCCGAGACGAGCACTGGCTATCTTTAAAAACATTCACAGTTCGCTTAGGCTTTGTAGCACCATTTAGAAGTAGACCGTGTTCGACGTTCTACAGTGTTATGTATACTATATATGAGTGGGATCAGAGAGTTCCACGATCGGACACAGATTTGTAAGAATAAAAGAATGAAAGAGAGGAAGATATTTAGCATGAAAGACTGCCAAAACACATATATTTTATACAAATTCAAAGCAGATGAGCATACAGCCACCTTTTCTTCCATACTTTGTACCTAAAATGTCACTCCTTACCCTTCAAGCTCAGTTTCCATTTATAAAATTTACTCCAGTTTTCTAAAAAAAAAAGATTCATCTTTCCCTTTTAATATACATGATATTTTATCCATTTTGGCAACATCAAATAGTTTTTGTATAACCTCTCTCCTATCTGGAATTTTATCCATTTTCCAGTACTTGGCATATAATATTCTAGCTGCCGTTATACAGTGTATCAACAGATTTTTCTCTACTTTCCCGTATACCTCTGGAATCGTGTTAAGTAGAAACAGTTCTGGTTTTAATGGTATTAAGGCACCCGTAATTTCCTTTAACATTTTACCAATCATCCTCCGGGAGGTAAATTTAAATGTTGAATGCTTTAAAACGCTTTCCCTCCTCCCTCCTACGTAGGCGGAACTCAACGAAGTCCTCGAAGAAGAAGATGAATCCCAGGAAGTTGTGACTCCTGCAGCTCCGAAGGTGCGAACTTCCGTTCTGACTTTCTTTCTCTTGTGTTCTTGGCAGCTAGTCTTCAGTTGAAACTGGCAAACGGGCCTCTTTTTTTTGCACCGGTTTATAGCGCCACAAACAAGGAACCATTGCTGCAGGCTCTTGGGCATTAGAAGGCCTTGTTCATTTCAACCCTGTTGCTGATAACCGTAATCGGGCTTCCACTTCTGATATAGTCTATAAAATAGACGAGTGTGTCAGAATCGCTCGTCATTGGTATGGTGCAGTAGGTGTGATCTTGGACTGTCCTTATTCAAATCCTGTGGCATCCATGAACCTTTTAGACAGTTGCCTTTAAGCCCTGGTTAAGACGCTGAACTGCAGGCTGTGGAAGGTCGGTAGTTCAGCAGTTCGAGACCCAAGTGTGCCGCATGACGGAGTGAGCTCCCGTCTCTAGTTCCAGCTCCTGCCAACCTAGCAGTTCAAAAACAAGAAATTGCAAGTAGATAAATAGGTACCACTTCAGTGGGAAGGTAACAGCGTTCTGTGCGCCTTGGTGTTTAGTCATGCCGGCCACATGACCACGGAAACGTCTTCGGACAGCGCTGGCTCTTCAGCTTTGAAACGGAGATGAGCACCGCAACCCTAGAGTCGGATTCGACTGGCTTTCGAGCAAGGGAACCTTTACCTTTACTTAATATGGGAATAATAATGTGACCTAAGCTAAGCAGCGTCAACCCTGGTTAGTATTTCGATGGGAGACCACCGAAGAAATTGAGGGTTGCTACCCAGGGGCAGGTAAGGCAATAGGCAATAAGAAACAGGGAGGGGGAAAAACAAATTTGACCCCAAAAACGAATCAAAAACCACACGGGGTAAGAAGGAAGTCTAATACAGGGCCAGTATTAAAAACCCAGTTGAAACTTGTAATATACAAAAATACATGTATTTATTAGAAACACAGTTAAAAACAAATAAGGGCCCAATGAAAGCCTCGTTAAAAAGTTCAAGTGGCCGAAACACAGGGACCAATACACATGACCTGACGCGTTTCCGCCCTATTGGGGGCCTTCTTCAGAGGTCAAACAATATTGAGGTACACATAACAATAATACATATTACAATTGAATAATTAATAAGTTGGTATTGGACCAAGAAAAGGAAGGTTAAGCAGCAAAATCAAAAGACACAAGACAAAGATGTTTGTGAGGCCTCTAAAGATGAAAGTCATGTGTCTGGTGTAGAGATGTGAAGGCCCGGGAAAAAAACAGAAGAATTCGGGGGGAAACTGGTTTTTTCCCTTTTTTCCCCTGAAGCCTTTTTTGTTTTTTTCCGAAAAACTGGAAAAATTGAAAAAAGAAAAGAAAATTGATTATGGAACGTTTTACTTTAACATGATGAATAAAATATTTTAAGACAAGGTGTTCAAACATTTTCCAAATCATTTCTAAAAAATATGTATGGCATCAGATTGATCTAATTTCTGTGCACTGAGGACAAGCAAGTCCTAGGTTACAAACTGAACTCTCCCATGCAAGAACAAGATGCATTTCTTCCTTTAGGAGGTGCTATTGTCACTAGAAAAGAAAAAGGTTTCAGTTTTGTTTTTGCATGTGGTTGGGTATTCTGTTTGTAATAATTGTTTGGATACACTATATTTTTAATAGGTTAGTTGTGATCATTTCATGCCAAGTAAAAATGTCCATAGTCATATTTTATGTTCCGAATGACTTTCAATCTGGAAAAGAAAAAAGAAGTGGTAATGCAGCGTTTTTTTCAATTTTTCTGAAAATTTCCGTTTTTTTCCGAGGTTCAAAATTTCCGGAAATTTTTCATCTCTAGTGACAAATGCACAGTTGCTGAATTACTTTACTTTAGGTCCAAAAAGCACCCGTGTGGCTATCTTAGTCAGAGCTAGAGTGTCCCCAAGCAAAAAGGTCACTTATACTTTTTTACGAGGCTTATGTAAGAACATAAGAGGCGCCAATGTTGGATCCGGCCAAAGGCCCATCCAGTCCAACACTCTGTGTCACACGGTGGCCAGAAATACCAGGTGCCCTCAGGAGGTCCACCAGTGGGGCCAGGACATTAGAAGCCCTCCCACTGTTGACACCAAGAAGACAGAGCATCACTTGCCCCAGAGCCCCTAGCTATACCTTGTGGCTAATAGCCACTGATGGACCTCTGCTCCATATGCTTATCTAATTCCCTTTTGAAGCCTCATTTGTTTTTAACTGCGTTTGTAATAAATACACGTATTTTCAACTAGGTTTTTAATACTGGCCCTGTATTAGACTTCGCTCTTACCCTTGCAGGTATTGGCAAACCACCCCTGTTCGACTCTTGCTTTGACCTGGATGGCCCTTGGCTAGCACAGTCTCATCAGGTTTCGGAAATTAAGGAAGGTCGGCTTTAGTTAGTACTTGGACGGGAGACCACCAAGGAAGCCCAGGGTTGCTACGCAGACGCAGGCAGTGGCAAACCACCGCTGTTCATCTCTGGCCTTGAAAACTCTATGACAGTGGTGGCGAACCTATGGCACGGGTGCCAGAAGTGGCACTCAGAGCCCTCTCTGTGGGCACGCGTGGCATCGCCCCAGCCAGGCCCAGACCATCATTAAAGTGTCGAATTCTCTGCCAAATAATTTTAAGTAAATGAAAGCATCTGGGATCGCTTTCCTTACTTTGTTTGGATCGTCTTAAGTTAATGTATGAGTTGTTTCAGGTTAAATTGCCGTGTTGGCACTTTGCGATAAAAAAGTGGGTTTTGGGTCGCAGTTTGGGCACTCGGTCTCTAAAAGGTTCGCCATCACTGCCCTATGAGGTCGCCATAAGTCAAATGACCCAAGCCCATTAGTTTATAATGCACAAGCCGGATGCGATTGCTACAGAAGCAAGCCTCTCGTCTGTCCTGTGTCTGGAATTGTTAAGCCAGAGCTGCAACATGCGACTTGCCAGAGTTCTGTAAATTAGTCGTATACAAACGGGTGGGGGGGATTGGGTTTCATTCTTCGTCCTCTGAAAGGATGGGTCTGTTTTGGGTTTTGCCAGACAAATGACACCCCGGCTGATTCCAGTAGGACCGAATCCCTTTTGCTGGAAAGGCTGGACATGTACAAGGCGGCAGTCGCGAATGCGAAACAAGCTGGGGAGGGCTCCAAGGTGCGCCGGTACGAAAGGGGCCTCAAGGTAAGGCACGGAAACTTTGCTGGAATGTAGTTTTGTAACTTGTTTTGTTATCTCTTTTTGAGAAGTTGGATGTGTCCTTGGACTCGTCTATTGTGAAGTTAAAAACTCCACCTAGGATTATTTCTCCTGAATGAAAAGAGTCTAGGCAGGAGCTCATTAGCATAACTCATTAGCATAACTTGTTTGCATATGCCACACCCCCTGACATCAAGTGTGTCCGACGGCAACACCCACCGCTCAGGCTCCACTGGACTCTTTTGGATTGCTAGCTATTGGGGGGGGGGATGATGTGCAGATCTGTCCTCGCAGAGGAGGGAGAGCTTGTACCTGAATATAACTTGGTCTTAAAGGTGCCACTGGACTGTTTTGGACCAGGGGGCGGGGGGGGGCTCTGCAACTTACCTGGCTGCTTCTTGCTCCTCATGGCCCGGGGCTGCTGGGAGCAGGGGGTGGGGCTTGTTGCATGTGCCCGCCCCCTGGGCTCTTTACTGCCGGAGCTCCGCTCCTGTGCGCTCCCGCAGGGAATGACCCCTGAGTCTAGGTGTTCTAAGGTGCACTCAGTAAAATCTAATTGGTCAGTATTCGGGGCATACAGTGTTGCTAGAGTAACCTGACGATCCTCTAGCTGTCCTTTAACAAATAAATACCCACTCCACCCCCCCAGTTATCCGCCTGTGTGTCTTCAAAAGTAAATTTCACCTTCTGGTAGATCAGGAAGGCTGTGCCTCTGGACTTCAACAAGCCTGAAATTGATGTTGGAATTTTAGAACAAACAGAGTCCAGTTGGGCACCTTTAAGACCAACAAAGGTTTATTCAAGGGATGAGCTTTCATGTGCAAGGCGCACTTTTTCAAATACGTTGGAACGGTAGGTAAGGTTCAGACTTATAGACAGGGACTTAACAGCCAATTAACATGCAACATGATGATGTTTAACTAAATAACTAAAGAACTAAATAACAAGCTAAGGTTATACAGTCGACAGTTGTAAAGCAGTAAAAATATGTCAAAATAGCAGATAAATGTCTAAAGGTGTTTCTAATTGTGGGAAGCAAACTGAGAATCTCCCAGGCATGGAGATCACTTAACGGCACTTTATGAGGTGGATGCAGTGTCAGGTCAGGAAAATTGTTGGAGTTCGTTAGTCTTAAAGATTGGAACAGAAGCATTCCTCAGACGTGTTTCCTGAAGGAAGAGCACATCAGGATGAATTTTGGAAATTTGGCTATAAGTAAGCCCCTTCGGGTCCCCGCTGGGGAGGAATGGAACAGAGTCTGAGGTAAATAAATAAAATCTGGCACTCTGAATCCACCCACAGCCACTCATAGTTTCTTTTCCAGCTCTGTGCCTGTTAAGTCCATTAAGTCTGGCACCGCTGATAGCGGGGAAATGAGATAAAGTTCTGGTGCTTCTTAAGGTTTCAGAACGGCACCTCGTGGTTTGCATGTGGGTTCCCCCCCCCTCGCCATCCCTTTGGAAGGGTGCAGAGCTCGTCTCGGGTTCAGCTCTTGAAACGTCCTAGATCGACGTTGTCTTTATCTCCCAGACCCTGGAGAACTTGCTGACCTCTGCAAGGAAGGGGAAGAAGATCGACGAGGAGGAAGTCCCTCCCCCGGTGGCCACGGGAAAGAGCGCCGGCCCCCAGGAGGCTTCTCCTGCAGAGCCAGTTTTGCCTTCCCCAGCCTCCCTGCCTAGTGAAAGTGCCACCTTGTCCAGCCGCCGTCCTCCGGACTCTGTTCCAGCAGACCCCGAGCAGTCGTCTCCGAAAGCATCACCTGTGTCCCGTGCCCAGTCCAGTCCGCCCCCCAAGCAGCCACCGCCGGTACTTCCAAAGCCAAAGATTTCTCCAGCCCCCGCCGTGCCTCTTAGATCCCCGGAGACGCCCCCGGAAAGATCTGGCCCCTTGGCACCCTCTCCTACTGCAGGTTAGTACTGGGCCTAAATGACCTGTGTGGAAAGGCCAGGAAGTGGGGATTGGGTGGCCCAGTTCAAGGTGTTGGCTTTGACCTGTAAAGCCCTTACATGGCTTGGGACCGTGGTATCTGAGGAGCCATCTTCTCCCATATGTTCCGGACTAGGAACTCTGATCACAGGGAGGGCCCCCCCTGACCGTCCCATCAATCAGTTTGCTTCTTTAAGAACATCAGAAGAGCCCTGCTGGATCAGACCAATAGTCCCTCTAGTCCAGCATCCTGTCTCACACTGTGGCCACCCAGTTTCTCCGGAGGGCCAAAAACAGGGCACAGAAGCTAAGACCTTCCCCTGATGTTGTCTCCTGGCTCTGGGTTTCAGAGGATTAGTGCCTCTGAATGTGGGCTGGTAGCCGCTGATAGACCTCCCCTCCATGAGTCTATCTAATCCCCTTTTATTCCTATGGCTGTCACTACCTCCTCTGGCAATGCAGTTCACATTTTAGTCACTCTGTGTCAAGTAGTGTAATGATTTCATGTTTTGGTGTGTGTGTTCCTTTAAATGTTTAGTTTGACTGCAGTAAAATGAGAAGAATGATAGAGGGAGACAAGTGTATTTTGATTGGCTGATGACTGAGAGTGTGGGAGGAGATGTTCGGAAGGAATCTGTGTGTGTATGTCTATGAAGTGATTCTGTGTGTAAAGTTTGAAGAGTGAGCATAGTCTGTGTGACTATGGAATTTTGAGTCTAATTCTGTGTGAATAAGACCAACAGCTTAGTCTGTGTGACTAAGAGAGCTGATTCTATTCAGTGTGAATAAAACAAAGAGACTAGCCTGCGTGGCTGTATATATACAAGAGAGAGAGAGAGTATACTGAGTGTATAAGCCTTTCAGAGTGGAATTTGGAGGTTGAGAGACTGTTTGTAACACCAAGCTTTGCCAGTTATATTTACAAGTTCCTTTCTTCAGCAACTCTTCAAAACAACCAGAAGCCTATTTTGTTCTTTATTAAATAAATCAATTTTTGTTTAAACTTATCCCAGAAATCAGTACAGTACTTCCTCAGGGCCACATAGTCCCCTGAGGTGCCCAGACCCTGGGTCATACTACCAAAAGAGAGAGAACTGGGATTTCTAATTCCTGGTGGCAGCAGAAAACTACCAAGTTTATACACACAGAGAGTGTTTCAAGGTAAAACCGTTTCCCCTATAAGCGAGGGCGTCGCGAGTAGTGTCTCCATTTGTCCGTCCTAAACCTACTGCCCCTCAGCTTCACTGGATGGCCTCGAGTTCTGGTGTTTTGGGAGAGGGAGAAAAAGTTCTCTCTGTCAACTCTCTCCCCCATGTGCATAATTTTACAAACCTCCATCATGTGTCTCCCCTCCCCCCTTACTCATCTCTTTGGCTGTTCTCAGGTTCCCAAACCTCTCCTAACCAGGCGGTCCTGCAGGGCCGACAACGGGAGTACAAGCTGGCGGCCTTGCGTGCGAAACAGGAAGGCAGCATGGAAATGGCTACCAAGTATTTCCGCATAGCCAAGGTGAGTGCGCTCACGCGGCAGGGCAGACCTCAATGAGGGGATCGCCTTCGCCAGAGAAACAGTCACTTTTGGGATCCAAAGGGAGACTCTCTCTCTTTCTTTTTGCCTGACATTTTAAAAAACATTATCTAGAACGGTCACTGAACCCCCCACTGTGTGGATCCGTGGCTCAGGAACAGAAGCCAAGATTTTAACTGAGTTCTGGCCCTCCTGGAGGTCCATCGCTCGGTTACTCACGCGTGAAACTGCCTTTTACTAATAAAAAAGAGCCAAGAGTCCAGTAGCGTATTAAAGACTAATGAAATTTGTGGCAGGGTAGGAGCTTTCTTAGGGGCTGCAGTGGCTCCAAGTGGTCAAGACGCTGAGCTGCAGACCGGAAGGTCGGTAGTTCGGCAGTTCGAGACCCGAGTGCCGCATGACGGAGCGAGCTCCCGTCTCTGGTCCCAGCTCCTGCCAACCTAGCAGTCCGAAGGCAAGTTATTGCAAGTAGATAAATAGGTACCGCTTTGGTGGGAAGGTGACAGTGTTCCGTGCGCCTCGGCATCTAGTCACGCCGGCCACATGACCACGGAAACGTCTTTGGACAGCGCTGGCTCTTCGGCTTGGAAATGGAGACGAGCACCACACCCCTAGAGTCGGATTCGGCTGGCTTTCGAGCGAGGGAAACCTTGACCTTTACTAGGAGCTTTCTTGAGTCACTGCTCACTTCTTCGGACCCCCAAGTCAGACTTTGTGATCTGTCAAAGTCAGCCTTGTCTCCTCTGATTGGTGGCAGCTGTCCCGGGTTCAAGTAAGAGGTCTTCCCATCCTCTGCCATCCAAGCCTTTTAAGCGGCAGTGCTGAGAACTGACCCTGGGGCCTTCTGCGTGTCGAGCAGACGCTCTGTCACTGAGCCGCGGCCCCCTCCGCTGCACACGTGGTGACCCGTAGCTTTGATGCCATCTGAAAAGTATTGTCTCTGAGGTGACACGAAAGCTCTGTCCACGGCATTTGATCTGTGATGGTTCACCCAGCCCTCTTGTACACCCTGGATCCCCTTTGAGTGGAGCCGCACCGCACGAGGACTGCGCGCCACTTCATCTGCCACTCCGCTGGCAGCAGCAGCGTAGTGTCAGGTGGCTGCTGCTTCCAGGAGGTGGGAGGGATGCCACAATCTGTGGCCTCCTGTGGAACATCAGAACAGCAAAGCGTGGCACGCCTTCACATGTACTGGGGAAAGGGGGGGGGGAGAAGGGAAAAACTGTACCCAAGATAACACTGCGAACTAGAAGGGTTAAGCTGACCATATATATTATAAAAATACAAAATTTATTAAGGTGTACACATATTAAAATATATTTGGATTAATTTTTTTTTCAAGTATCAGACTAATAAAAGCATATCAATTATTAATACACATGATGGGTTAACACTTTCCAACTGAAGACCAAACGCGTTTCGGCCTCAAAGGGCCTTCCTCAGTAGTCACTGTACAACATAATATAGACACACATTCAAACATATGTATACTTATTTACCTTGATGGAATGACACACACTCAGACTTTTGAAATCTCAGTACCAGAATAATTGGAATGAATATGGCCATACCTAGGGCCCATCATTAATACCAGCAACACAATTGCAAACATATAAGGATACAACATCTGGTCTGTAAATAAGTATACATATGTTTGAATGTGTGTCTATACTATGTTGTACAGTGACTACTGAGGAAGGCCCTTTGAGGCCGAAACGCGTTTGGTCTTCAGTTGGAAAGTGTTAACCCATCATGTGTATTAATAATTAGTCTGATACTTGAAAAAAAATTTTTTAACCCGAATATATTTTAATATGTGTACACCTTAATAAATTTTGTATTTTTATAATATATATGGTCAGCTTAACCCTTCTGGTTCGCAACGCCTTCACATGTGGCATACTGACTCGTGTAGCATCATTAGAGTCTGAACTGGGAAGTCCTCGGCTGCAATTTTGACTTGACCACGGCCTTGCTTTGTGGCCTTAGATTGGGGTCCCCAACTTTGGAATTCTGGCAAAAGGACAGTGGGCACAACGGGCGAAATGGCTGTTCCGGGAGGTGGAGCCAGCCACAAAACGTGAAGGGGGGCGAGGTGACGTGTGACTGTAATCATCGTTCTCTTAACATTTCATGTAGAAACTCTTTTTAACAGGTACCTCCTAATCTGCACAGCCAATCAGAAGCCCTCCTTACCTGGCCCCACCCACTTTATAAAAAAACACACACACCACTTGATTGGCAATGTGGTGCTCACGGGGACCGTGTTGGGGACCCCCTGCCGCACATAAACTGCTCTTTTTTTGGCAGCCGACTGTAAGGATTATGGAGAACTACATACGAAGCACTTGGGAAAGTATAAAGTGCTCACAGAGAGTCGTCCTCCGAGACGGTCGCTGCGATTTGAGGAGGAGGATGTGAGAGGGGTTTGAGAGCCAGTCTGGTGTCGCGGTTAAGAGCGCGAACTCTAACCTGGGAGGACCCGGTTCGATCCCCCACTCCTCCTCCACACGCAGCTGCTGGTGTGACCTTGGGTCCATCACAAGTTCTCTCAGAGCTGCTCACTCAATAGCAGTCTCCATGAGATAGCTGTAAAGAGAGTGGGCAGTTTGGAGTGGCTGACTGGGGGGGGGCTTAACCGTTTGCCCACCCTCTCCCCCCTACATCTCCCTCCCCCAGGCTGGTCTTCCGCCTGAACTCTTGGGTCCGCCTCCGTTGCCGCCGCCGGCCTCCTCCGTGCGAACCGCCACTTCCTCGGCACCCCATTGTCCAGAGTGTCTGGACAGGTTTATACATTTGCCTTTCTTTGCCCTCCGCCCGTTGGATCGTGAAGCGTTGTCAACATCCCATTAGGCCTTTTCGCACCAAGAGCAGACCGTTGACCTTCCATGAACCTCTTTCAGAGCCTGGACCCCCTTTTGGAATCCCTGAGTAAAGGCGAGCCAGTGGACCTCAGCCGCCTGCCTCCCCCTCCAGGTGAGCACAGTACCTTGGGCGGTTGGCCCCGGGTGCCTTTTGAATGAACTCTGCCCGCCAATGAGATGCCCGGCTCCAGAGGCATTTGTGACCAATGTTCCCTCTAAGCTGTGGAGTCTTGTGAGCAAAAATTCTACTTTGTGAGCTCCTGGCATTAAAGTTGTGAGCGAGCCATTTGGCGACTGCATAAATTAGTTTGCTCTGGAGCCCATCCCTTCCTGAGCTAAGACAAAAATGTGTGAGCCGGAGGCTAAAAAACTGTGAGCTAGCTCACACTAACTCAGCTCAGAGGGAACACTGGTTGTGACGGAAAGCTGCGAGAGAGGCCGTGGGTGTCTCTTACGTTGTCCAGAGCGCCAGTCTGGTGTAACGATTGGGAGCGCGGGCTCTGATCTGGGAGAACCGGCTTGATTCCCCACTCCTCCGCGTGCAGCTGGTGGTGTGACCAGGGGTCAAGACAGATGTGGACAATCACGACCTAATCAGAAAACAAGTGTAAAGGAAACTGTCGTGGGAGTCTGACCCACAAATCAAGCCGTCAACAAGACTTGCAAAGAAAAGGCTTTCTGCATATTATGGTCAACGAGCACTACAACACAATAAGCAACTTCCTTCAAATCCTAAGAAGCTTAGCAGCCTATTTGAGCCTGAATACTTATTGAGATCAGCGTCCTGTCTAAATGGATTATCTTTCCTGATTTTTTGTAAAGCACTTAATGAGCAAGAGAGCTTTTGTACTACTCTAATATTTCTGAGGAAGGTCCAGTTTTGAAACGTTGCTATATAATCCGGCGATGACGTTGATGTATTTTTACACTAGGATTTTCTTGTGCTTTGAAGGAATTTGTTTATTATGTTGTAGTGCTTGTTGGCCATGATATACAGAAAGCGTGAGTCCCAAGTTCTCTCAGAGCTGTTCTCTCAAGGGCAGTCCTCGAGAGAGCTCTCTCAGCCCCACCTACCTCACAGGGCGTCTGTTGTGGGGAGGGGAAGAGGAAGGCGTTTGTAAGCCACTCTGAGACTCCCTTGGGTAGTGAAGAGCGGGGTATAAATCCAATCTCTTCTTCTTTTACCTTACAGGGCGTCTGTGGTGGGGAGGGGAAGGGAAAGGAGTCTGTGAGCCGCTCTGAGGCTCCTTTGGGTAGTGAAGGGCAGGGTATAAATCCAATCTCCTCTTCTTCTTTTACCTCACAGGGTGTCTGTTGTGGGGAGGGGAAGGAGTTTGTAAGCCGCTCTGAGACTCCTTTGGGTAGTGAAGGGCAGGGTATAAATCAAATCTCTTCTTCTTTTACCTCACAGGGAGTCTGTTGTGGGGAGGGGAAGGGAAAGGAGTTTGTCAGCCGCTCTGAGACTCCTTTGGGTAGTGAAGGGCGGGGTATAAATCCAATCTCTTCTTCTTCTTCTTTTACCTCACAGGGTGTCTGTGGTGGGGAGGGGAAGGGAAAGGAGTTTGTAAGCCGCTCTGAGACTCCTTTGATTAGTGAAGGGTGGGGTATAAATCCAATCTCTTCTTCTTCTTTTACCTCACAGGGTGTCTGTCGTGGGGAGGGGAAGGGAAAGGAGTTTGTAAGCCGCTCTGAGACTCCTTTGGGTAGTGAAGGGCGGGGTATAAATCCAGTCTCCTCTCCTCTTCTTCAGTATTTCGCTGCCAAACTCTCACATCTCGGTACACCAGTCTGATCTGTAGCTAGAAGCAGTGAGAAGTTTGTTGACTAATACGAAGTAACGCAAGAATATGAAGTAACCCTAATATGAAGCAACCAAATAACACAGAGCCATGAATTGGTTCTTTTACTCGGTTTTCAGCGAGCTAAGAATGCCAAAATGCTGGAACTCTCTCTCAGCTGTTGGGGCTCACAGTCTGGGTAGCTAATCCTCACAGGTGTGCTTCTGTCCGGCGAGGAGATCCACGTCTCCTGGGGGGGGGGGGTCGCAGGAAAGGAAGCCCTCCTTGGAGAAATATAGATCTGCGGTGGGGGGGGGCGCTACAAGGCAGCCTGGCCTAGGGGGGACACGCCAGAAGCTAGCTTGCCTAGTGCGCAAAAAACAACAACATCGGGCCGGCCCTGCGTGGCACTTGGGAACGGTGGGATGGGTGCCCGGCATATTCAAGTGTCTTTTTAAAAAAGGACACCTAGTTGTGCGGTCCTGCAACATTTCTTCTGAAACATCCGGATCGGTGGGGGTGCTGGTGTGTGTGGAGGGGGAGGTAGAGTTGGCAGCGTTCCAGGGGCCTCCGGAAAGAGCACCTCGTCACGTTTTGGCTGGCCGGCTGTCTTCCACAGATCAGCTGCCCAAAGAACTGCTGATCCCGAGCATGCCGCAGTGCCCGGTAGTGACAGCGACGCCCGTCACGCAGGCCGTGTCCCCTTTGGCGCCGGGAGTCTCAGGAGCAGGAGGTATGAACCCCAGAAAGCCCTCTTGCTTCCACTGCTCAACGCCAGCCTTTTGAATGGGGCCTGGAAGTGGCCCTGGCCGTCTGAGAGCCAGTTTGGTGTGGTGGTCTAGGAGCGCGGACGCTAATCTGGGAGAACCGGGTCTGATCCCCCACTCCTCCACATGCAGCCAGCTGGGTGACCTTGGGTCTGTCACAAGTTCTCTCAGAGCTGTTCTCTCAAGAGCAGTCCTCGAGGAGCTCTCTCAGCCCCACCTCCCTCACAGGGTGTCTGTTGTGGGGAGAGGAAGGGAAGGAGATCGTAAGCCGCTCTGAGACTCTGAGTGAAGGGCAGGGTATAAATCCAATATGTTCTTCTTTGGTGAAGAAGCCAGTTTGGTGTGGTGGTCTGGGAGCGCGGACTCTAATCTGGGAGAACCGGGTCTGATTCCCCACTCCTCCTCCACATGCAGCTGCTGGTGTGACCTTGGGTCAGTCACAAGTTCTTTCAGAGCTGTTCTCTCAAGAGCAGTTCTCAAAGAGCTCTCTCAGCACCGCCTGCTTCACAGGGGAGAGGAAGGGAAGGAGATTGTAAGCCGCTCTGAGACTCTGAGTGAAGGGCAGGGTATAAATCCAATATGTTCTTCTTTGGTGAAGAAGCCAGTTTGGTGTGGTGGTCTGGGAGCGCGGACTCTAATCTGGGAGAACCGGGTCTGATTCCCCACTCCTCCTCCACATGCAGCTGCTGGTGTGACCTTGGGTCAGTCACAAGTTCTTTCAGAGCTGTTCTCTCAAGAGCAGTTCTCAAAGAGCTCTCTCAGCACCGCCTGCTTCACAGGGGAGAGGAAGGGAAGGAGATTGTAAGCCGCTATGAGTGAAGGGTGGGGACATAAATCCAATCTCCTCTTCCTCCTCCTCCTCCCTCCCTCCAGCGCCACTGTTTCCAGGTCACCCTTAGGGTACCTTATTCAGCGGGAGGACTGAGCGGCACAGAATAACTGGCTCTCTCGCTTCCAGACATGCCCCCGCCCCCTCGGGACATGATGGAAGCCCTGCAGCAGAGGATGGAGAGGTACAAGACTGCTGCCGCCCAGGCCAAGAGCAGAGGGGACGACCGGAAGGCCAGGATGCACGAACGGATCGTGAAGGTGAGCCCACCTGCTCGCGATAACCAGAAATCCCCGTTTCCTCCACAGTGCCTTATTTTTGCTTGACAGTTTTCACCCTGCTGGGTCAGACCAGGGAGGGTCCCTCCAGTCCAGCCTCCCGTCTCACTCAGGGGCCAGCCAGTCCCTCTGGAGGGCCAGCAACAGGGCAGGGAGGCCGAGGCCTTCCCCTGATAGGAACACCAGAAGAGCCCTGCTGGGTCAGACCAGGGAGGGTCCCTCTAGTCCAGCCTCCCGTCTCACACAGGGGCCAGCCAGTTCCTCTGGAGGGCCAGCAACAGGGCAGAGAGGCCGAGGCCTTCCCCTGATAAGGACACCAGAAGAGCCCTGCTGGGTCAAACCAGGGAGGGTCCCTCCAGTCCAGTCTCCCGTCTCACACAGAGGCCAGCCAGTTACTCTGGAGG